TATATATTTATATATATATATATATATATATATATATATATATAATATATATATATGAAAAAATCAGATAATTAAAGAAAGCCACGAAAGAGGTGGTTTTTTTTTGGTTTTTTTTTGTTTTGTTTTTTTTGATAAACACCTCTGAAATAATAATTAAAGTAATATTAAATACAGGAAAGTACAGATTTAAAAGTATTTTAGGGAAACACCTTTGGAGGAAAAGAGCGGTAAATTGTTTAATGGAGAAAAAAGACTGTCTGTTTCCAAAAACGGGTTCAACTTCATTAATATGAAATTAAGACTGAAAACCTTTTCAGAAGTGAAATCGCCTCGATTAGAAAAAATTGTCAAACGTTTACCCTCAAAAAATATTATCAGCTTAATTGACGTTGAGGTTTATATCCATTAGGACGTGAATACCAAGGGTCCATTTAGTGGGTGGTCGTTGAAGCATCTAAGACCGCAATTTACGCAACGAGTACTTCATCCTCAAATGTGTTCAAACACATTTATCTATGCGGGTTGTAATTACTGGATTCTTGCTTGAAATAAAATCAAAAATAAAATTACGAATAATAACATACAAGAATATTATACCCTAGTTTATGCAAATTTAGCCTCCTCCCACTGTCAAACGCAAACCATGTTCCGTATCGTTGTTTTATACCAAAATCGCGTTATTCCTGGTGATTAAAGCCAGTATTTCACTTTTAAACTTCATACACTGTATTGAACTGTCGAGTATAAAGCTCAGAGTCAATAGCGCTGCCACCTGGAACAACCTCAAAGCGCCAAACACCAAAACACTTCCAGTGAATGCATAAAACCGGCTTTTTCTACCTTTGTTAAGTCAATGCCAACTCGGTTGATTGGATTTTTCATATATGTTGACCTTTCACCACTTTGTGGATTCCACATTCCGCCAACTTTAAAATTTGAGTTTTTTCGTACGTGCATTGACCTGCTTTTTGCTATTTTTGAATAGGCCCATCAGTTTCAGTAAAACATAATTGTTGTTATATAAAAAAAGGTTTCCGTGTCAACGAGCTTATAATGAACTATACAAATGTTTCAACATTACTTACATATCAATAGTAATTATTAATTATAATTAAAAAGATTGCTTATCTTAAGCTAATCGTACAACAAAATTTTTTATTTCAAAAGTTTATCAATCGATATAGTAGGCTTTTTCTGCCAAATTAACCTTATTTATTTTAAATTTACTATTTTAAATTTCAAATTAACTTTTTTTAAAATTTCTAATTAATTATTTTTAATTTCAAATTAACCTTTTCTCTAAATAAGTTTAAAAAACTTAAGATATGTTATAAAATCATCACGTATAAAGAAAAATTCATGTGTATTTTTTTAATATAAAATAATTGCGCTCTTAAAGAACCATATAAAATTAATTACAATAAAAATTAAAAATGATATAAACTTAAGTAAAAAATAGAAGGCTCTTATTTTGAGAAGTCTTAAAAAATATAAAACTGATAACGGATAAACTGATATTTATATATGCGACCCTGCTCGTAGCCATCCGATGCAAATCCAATGTCAAATCTTCCATAAGATTGTATTACCCCCGAGTACATCTCCCCGATGCCACGCAACGCTACCCTACTCTACTCCCTGCGATCCCCACTGTCCAGGTTTTCGTCGTGCATACACTACCAAAACGAGGCGTCGGGTAGCGTAGCGTTGCATCGGATAAGTGTGTTGCGCACTTAAAACTAAAACTAAAAATATGTAATATAAAAATACAAAACTAAACAAAAATATAATACTATACATATAACTTTATATTTGTATAAAATGTAAAACTTAAAATATAAATAAATTTAAAATTTGTAAAATACTATTAATTAAAANTATACTAACACATAAAAGTACAATTAAAGTAAATTAAAAGGCTTATAAAATTAAACATGACAACAATTGATTCTTTTTTAAATTATTTTTTTTTAAATTTATAAACAATTATTATTTTCTATTTATTTATATATTTATTTTTTAAAATTCTTATGGGAAAATTGTACTTTTATCTTTGACGGTGGCCGCGACGGTTAAACGGTTAAGGCGTGGACAGGGCGCTTTATCACTGTAATGTAAAGGTCCCGGGTTCGAATCCAGCGGCCCTGCTTTCGAACCCGACATACTTACGATGGACTTTTAAAGAACAGCAATTCCCGAGTGTTGAAATGACCTCAGCTGCTAGGAATTCTCGTAAAAGAAGAGAAAATAAGTAACTGTAATATGATCTTGGAAGAGCACAATCATTTTAATTTTTTTTAAAATGTTTTAATGAAAGACTTTGTCAGAAATTAAACATGTTATCTTGATTTTTAAAAGGGTTAATTTAAAATTAACAAAGTTAATTTGAAGTTGAAATTGGGTAATTTGACGGGAAAAGGCCAAAAATAAATGTCAATACTTCTTCTGTTTAGAACATTTTTATGTAATCAAAGCATATAAGCCAAAAATTTTAAAGCACTGTTGCATTTCATGAAGGTTTTATTTTTAATCGATATGACGAAAATAATATTTTGATTAGAGTGTAAACGATAATATTCAATCCATGCTGAAAAGCAATGTTACAAATGTTAACGATAATATTTTTATTGCCGTTGTATATTTGATTTAACAAAATTAAGATAACTTTCTCTCAGAGTTCAGGAAACAAAACACACTAAGCTGATAATGCGCTTGTCATTTACATAATAATAATGTGGGAAGTTTATGGGCCGACAAACTCTGAGGTCATCGCCGGCCCTCTGCGTGTTTCCTTCTTTTTCTCTTCTTTCGCGCATATTTTGTTTTAAACTGCAGCCATTTGAGCGTCTCGATCTGGTTACTGACTCTCTGATTTCAAATACATACTACGTTGATATCCTAGAATGCGTCTCTCTCGTTTGTACCTCAGGTTGTCAAATACAGAATAGAAACAATACATCACCACAAACATACATGTCTGGTCACATTCACTCCCCCAGTCATTTGCATATATTTAATTTCAAAAAACATTTTTTCTATTGTTTATAAAAAAGATTTTGGACAAATTCTTGTATTTGATTTCTGTGCTGTCTTGTATTATTGGGTTGTCCGGAAAATAATGCAGGATTTTAAGTTTTCATTAAAAAAAATCTATATAAAATATTCTGTTTACGTTTACAGGATTACTCATTTGTATGAATGTCAACACTTATTAATCCTCTTCCAAATGATATTGTTTGTTTACCTCTGTAGCATTCCGCTACTTGGAAATAATTCAGTCATCCTTATAATGTCAAAGCGAGAATTTCGTACGATTTTCTTTTACGAGTTTAAACTCGGCCGAAGCGGAGCCCAAACGGCTAGAAACATTAACCAAGTCTGGGGCGAGGGTTGTGTTAATGAGTGCACTGTGCAAAGGTGGTTTAAAAAATTTCGGGAGGGAGATTTCAGCCTTGAAGATGAAGAAGGTCGTGGAAGGCCTTCCTCTCTTAATGATGATGTTCTGCGATCAGTGGTGGGTGCAGAGCAACTCAAAGTCAGTAAAACGACCGTCGCTGACCACCTCAAGGCGATTGGAAAAGTGAAAAAACTCGAAAATTGGGTTCCACACTCATTAAACGATCGCCAAAAAAATCAGCGCTTTGATGTTTGTGCATCACTTCTTTGTCGAAACAAAAATGACCCATTTCTGGCCAGAATTGTTACATGTGACGAAAAGTGGATTCTCTACGATAACACTAGACGTTCTGGACAGTGGCTCGACAAAGGAGAAGCTCCAATACATTTTCCAAAGCCCCCAACTCATCAAAAAAAGGTAATGGTTACGGTATGGTGGGCTTCATTTGGTTTAATACACTACAGCTTCTTAAATCCTGGCGAAACCATCAATGCTGAATCATACTGTAACCAAATTAATACCATGCATCAGAAATTGGCAGTAATGAAGCCCTCTTTGGTCAATCGGAAAGGGCCCATTTTGTTGCATGACAACGCTCGACCACATG